TAGAGACGGGGTTTCACCGTGTTGACCAGGATGGTCTCGATCTCTTGACCTCGTGATCCACCCGCCTCGGCCTCCCAAAGTGCTGGGATTACAGGCTTGAGCCACCGCGCCCGGCTGATATTAGTCCTTTATTGGATGCATAGATGCAAACATTTTCTCATGTTCTGTAGGTTGTCTTTACTCTGTTGTTTCTTTTGCTGTGCAGAAGCTCTTAAGTCCCAATTGCCCGTGTTTGTTTTTGTTGCATTTGCTTTTGTGGTCTTAGTCATAAATCCTTTGCCTAGGCCAATGTCCGGAAGAATTTTTCCTAGATTTTTTTCTAGTTTCTTCATTCTTCTGCACATGGCTAGCCAGTTTTTCCAGCACCATTTATTGAATAGGACGTCCTTCCCCATTGTTTATTTTTGTTGACTTTGTCAAAGATCAGTTGGCTAGGTGTGGCTTAATTCTTGAGTTCTCTATTCTGTTCCATTTATCTCTGTGCCTACTTTTGTATTAGTACCATGCTGTTTTAGTTACTATAGCCTTGTAGTATAATTTGAAGTCAGGTAATGTGATGCCTCTAGCTGTGTTCTTTTTGCTTAGGATTGCTCTGGCTATTTGGGCTCTTTTTTTGGTTCCATATGAATTTTAGAATTGTTTATATAATTATGTGGAAAATCATATTGGTAATTTGATAGGAATTGTGTTGAATCTGTAGATTGCTTTGAGTAGTATGGTCATGTTAACAATGTTGATTATTCTTATCCATGAGCGTGGAATGTTTTTACACTTCTGTCATCTGTGATCTCTTTCATCAGTGTTTTGAAAAGCTCTTCTTGTAGAAGTCTTTCATCTCCTTGGTTAAATGTGTCTATAGGTATTTTATTTTGTGTGTGGCTACTGTAAATGGGATAGAATTCTTGATTTGGTTCTCAACTTGAACATTATTGGTGTAGAAAACTGCTACTGATTTTTGTATATTGATTTTGTATCCTGAAACTTTATTGAAGTCATTTATCTAGGAGTATTTTGGAGGAATCTTTAGGGTTTTCTAGATGTAGAATCATATCATTGGTGAACAGAGATGGTTTGACTTCCTCTCTTCCTATTCGTACATCTTTTATCTCTTGCTTGTGCCTGAATGCTCTAAGAATTCTAATATCATGTTCAACAGGAGTGGTGAGAGTGGACATCCTTGTCCTGTTTCAGTTTTTAGAGAGAATGCTTCTGGCTTTTGCCCATTCGTTATGAAGTTAGCTGCAGGTTCGTCATACACAGGTCTTATTATTTTAAGGTATATTCCTTTGATGCCTAGTTTGTTGAGGGCTTTTATCATAAAGGATGTCGGATTTTGTCAAGTGCTTTTTCTGCAGCCATTGAGATGATCATCTGGCTTTTGGTTTTAATTCTGTTTGTGTGATGAATCACATTTATTGATTTGTGTATGTTGAACCATCCTTGCATCCCAGGAATAAAGCCCACTTAAAAAGTGTCTACATTCATTTGTTTCAAATAATTTTTTTTATTGCTTCCTTGTTTACCCAAAAGTCATTAAGGAGCAAGCTGTTTAGTTTCCATGTACTTGTGTGGTTTTAAGGATTCCTCTTGGTATTGATTTCTAATTTTATTCCACTGTGGTCTGAGAAGATGCTTGATATGATTTTTAAAAAATTTATTAACACTTTCATTGTGGCCAAGCATGTGGCTAATCTTAGAGAATGTTCCATGTGAAGATGAGAAAAATGTATATTCAGTGGTCACTGGGTGGAGTAGTCTGAAGATGTCTATTAAGTCCATTTGGTCAACTGTCCAATTTAGTCCAGAATTTATTTTCTGCCTCAACGATCTGCCTACTTCTGTCAATGGGGTGTTGAAGTCCCTCACAATTATTGTATGGCTATCTTTTTTCTTAAGTCTAGTACTATTTGTCTTATAAATCTGGGTGCTCTGATGTTGGGAGGATGGTTAGATTGTCTGGATGAACTGAACATTCTCTCTTTTTTAACTGTCATTAGTTTACGATCTGTTTTATTGGATTAAAAAAAAACAGCACCCTCTCATCTTGTTTTCTGTTTGCATGATAGATCTTTCTCCAGCCCTTTACTTTGAGCCTGTAGGTGTCATTACATGTCAGATGGGTCTCTTGAAGGCAACAGAAGGTTGGGTCTCATTTTTTTTTTTTTAATCAAATTTGTCACTCTGTGTCTTTTAAGTGCTGTATTTGGGATGTTTATGTTCAAGTTTAATGTTGATATGTGAGGCTTTGTTCCTGTCATAGTGTTTTTAGCTAGTAGCTTTGTAGTCTTGATTGTGTAGTTGCTTTATAGGGTCTGTGGTCTTTGTACTTACATATACTTTTATGGTAGCAAGTAATTGTTGTTTTGTTTTCATGTTTAGAACTCCTTTGACCATTTCTTTTCAGGCTGATCTAGTGGTAACAAAGTCCCTTACATTTCCTTGTCTAGGAAATATTTTATTTCCCTTCATTTATGAAACTTAGCTTGGTGGGATATAAAATTATTGGCTGGCATTTATTTTTCTTTAAGAAGGCTAAAAATGGGCCCCCAATCTCTTGTGGCTTGTAAGGTTTCTGCTAAGAAATTCACTGTAAGTTTGATGGAATTTCCTTTATATGTAATTTGGCCCTTTTCTCTAGCTGCCTTTAAGGTTTTTTTTTTGTTGTTTTTCACATTGACCTTAGTCTGAGGACTATTTGCCTTGGGGGTGGCTATACTGTATAGCATCTCACAGGAGTTCTCTGGATATCTTGTATGTAGATGTCAACCTCTCTAGCAAGATTAAGGAAATTTACCTGTATTACTCCCTCAAATAGGTTTTCCAAGTTGCTTACTTTTTCTTCTTTTGTCTCAGTAATGCCAATAAGTTATAGGTTTGGTTGCATAATCCCATATTTCTCAAAGACTTTGTTTTTTTAAATTTTTTTCTTTACTTTTGTCTGACTTTTGTCTTTTTTTAAACTGTCATTAGTTACAATCTGTTTGAAAGATCAGTCTTCAAGCTCTGAAATTCTTTCTTCTGCTCAGTCTAATCTATTGTTAAAACTTCCAACTATAAATTTCTTTTTTTTTTTTTTTTTTTTTTTTTTTTTTTTTTT